TCAGCACCCGAAGCTTCGCACAGCCCTACTAAATATCTCATCACTATCTCCTTCATTTCCTGCAATCTGACAATCTGGATGAAATAACTTGCATCCTGGGTATCAATGACCTTTTTCTGACCAGATATCAAGGTTATTTCTCCATTCTGATCCTCCTAGATATAGGACCTTAAACTTGGCTGAATACTTCCCACTGTTTAACACTCTCTTGGAAATCCAACAACTGCTTTCCTGGTCAGGTATGTCCACAAAGAATTATTTGGAGCTAGGTCAGTACCAGAAGCAATATAGCCATATTATCACGGAGCACTACTTCTCACCAATGAATTAGCTCAGGTGGAGTATCATGTTAAAGTGACTATACTTCTGACACCAAGGTACTTCACATTCAGAACAAGTTCTGACACATCCACATGACAATGAGCAGTGCTTTGCAGATATACTTGTACTCTTCCTACTTTTTCCAGGTGATCCTTCAGTTTCTCTTTTGCTGGTTCTTTCTCCCTCTATCAGTCTACCAAAGGGTTAGGTCTTCTGTCCTAGGCCTCTTCTTACTCTAACCTTTTATATAGGCAAGCTCATAACTAGAACTGCCATGTCTATTGTAGAGCCTCTCAGGTTTACTTCTTTACCCAACCTTTCCCTTTCTGTTCATTTTATATTTCAAATTATCTGCAATGGCAAGTCCTCCTGCCAGCTAAAATTCAATGCATCAAAACCAAAATAACCTTTCTTTCCAAATACTTCTTCCCACTTCTTATTCTATAACTATCATATACTGTCATCCCATTTCACTGTTGCAGAGCCTCACAACTTTTTGTCATCTTCAGCTTCTCTCTCTCACAGATATTCTACCAATAAATCATGCAACATCTATCTCTGCAAGACCATAAACATCTGCCTGCTTCTTTCCATCTCTCCTGCTAAAAATCTTAATCATATTAGAACTTCTAATCACTCTGCCCTGTCTGGCAACCCTGATCCTTACCTCCCCCATCTCCAATCAATTCAAACTTCTTGTTAACATCCCCCTTTGCACCTGATGTTTTGACAACAGTCAGGATCTTCTAAAATGGTTTTGGTATCTTTCCATTCTTAAATAAGATTAAAACTTCCTGTCCTTATTTTTCAAGGCTGTCCATATCTTTTTCTCCCCTACATTAGCTGTTTACCTTTGGCCCCCACTGGGCTCCTTTGAAAATCAATCCGAAATTACTTGAAGCACAAATCCACTGCAAGCCAAGGTGGGAAATCTCACTCTTATTTGTTCAAACATTCTTCTTGCTCAGATCCATGTCTGCTTTCATGCTTCCCTTGAAACACCATTTCTAACCCAATGTATTACTTCTCTTTATCCTCTTTCCACTCTTCTCAAAAAACAATTTTTGCAGGAGAAAACTTCTCTATCATATCCCTAATATTAAAAATAAGGGGAACTCACCCCCTCAAATCTCAATTACTCGTTAAGATCGTTGTGGCAGTGCACCTTTGGGTGCCTGCCACTTTAAGGGCTGGGAGCAGGCAGCTGGCAGGTGTTTGATTAGGGTGGCCATTTTAGTACCTAGCTCACATAGGCTGGGCCAGCAGTTTTGCTGCCAGCTGCCGAGAAAGAAACATCATCCGGCTGAGCTACTGCTTGAGGAACATCTTGGAGGTAAGGGCAGGAGCTGTGGGGATGGTAGGAGGCTCCTGGTCCTAGGCATGACCTGAAACTTCACCCTGCTGGGAAAAGGTGGGGTCTGGAGGGACTGTCTGTGGCAGGACATCCCCTAAGAAATACCAGACCAGTTACTCCCCCTGGTGAAAGACAGGTAGGGGTGCCTTAACCCCAGCCCCCACTATCTGGTGGGTAACTGTGCGAGTGTGGAGAGCAGTGTGGGCCAGACACACTAACAGAGAGGCACCTGAGCCCAGCAGGGGTGTGAGACTCTGGAGGCCCCAGAGCAGGTAGTGTTGTGGTGTGGGCCTGAATAGAGTAGGGTGTAATTTGGGACACCTGACTGGGATAGTGGGATGCAGAGTACAGCTTCAGAGGTGGCTTGAAGGACAGTACATGGGCCAACCCCAAGTGTGAGAGCGGAAAACTAGTTGCCCGGTGGGGGTCTAGGGGCAAAAGCAGCCCAGCGGCAGTACAAGGTGACACCATGTAGAGTAGGTGAACTCGTGGGATCCGAAGTTGCTGTGTGGTAGTGCTAGAGTGTGAGTAGTGAAGCCCGAAGGCCCAGAGGGGTCACTCATGGGGAGCGAGGGCAGTAGGGAGTGACCCAGTAACGAGCGGTATGATAGAGGCACCTGTGAGAGGGGTGCAGCGTGCAAGAGGCCCCTGTGACAGGTGGGGCAGCATGAGTAAGAATGTCTGGAAGAGGCCAACAAAGGACTGAGTTTGCCTCGGCCTCGGACCGGGGAGCAATACCAACATGGGTGCCATCTGCGAGGCATGGGCCACAGTGTAGGGGAGGTTCAGAGTCGTGGATTAGCACCCCTGGCATCGGGGTAGTGAATGGGCAGCCTCCCACTTAATATATCAGAGTAACATTCAAGTCGTGGCAGATGAGTCAGGGCAGTGGGCAGGCTAACTCAAGATCTAGACCTGGAGGACCCCCTGTCACAATCATCTACAAACCTTTTTAAGTGAGCATAAATTTATACTGTCCTCTCCTACACGTTTCCCATTTTCTGTTCCATCTTAACATTTTTGTCATTTCCAGTTTGTAATTAAATAACTTAGATAGTAAATAATTTGGAACAGGAATTCTATTTTTCCACTGTCCATTTCTGATGTTATAACAGGTGAATAATAATAAGAGCATTAGTAATAGATGTCTACAAGGAAGTTTCCTAATCAAAACAAACAACTAACCACATGAAAAGTTCAGATGAGAAATATGCCCCACATGTGAAATGTACACTCTGGAAAGAACTGAATTACTTTTCCTTGAAGTGCTGTTATATTTCAAAAAGTGAATCAGTAAAAATGGAATCCTGTATTTCCATGTTTATCAATTATTTCATATCATATTTTTCTAACTGCCAACTGCACAAACTTGATCCCGGATCTGACATAATGGTATGTGCTTTCTGGCTCATACATCACCATAGTAATAAGGATTTTGCATTTGGAACTCAGTCAACAGTTCTGTTGGTGGTGCATAAGCCAGAATAATTATGCTTTTGCCAGATTCATGTGCAATCCAGTTCCAATTCATACAGTTTTATTTGCTTTCAAGGGTTAAAAAGGAGCACAAGAGTGGCTCTGAGGCTAAAGATATACAAGGAGAAAAGATGTTGAAATTGAATTCTGATTATGCAGTGTTTTGTCTCTATCTACATTTTAAGTTTGATTTTTTTAAAGTGCATGAACTCAAATCTATATGTGAAATGTGCAGGTAAGTGCCCACCAGGTTAGTATGCATAATTAGTACAACTGGAATGCACAGCTGTGCATTTATGTACACACTGATACTTTCGATAGATGTGCAAATTAGGCATACAAGTGTGCCTTCACAGTTAATTCAAAATCTATCCAACAAAAATTCTAGTTTACTAGTTTCTGTTGACATTAAATGGAAGAAACCCAGCTAAATCCTTGCATAAACCACTTTGGAAACAAACTCTTTGTTTATATACATATGCCATCAAAAGAAAACAAAACTGCAGTTCACATATCCCTATTTCATTTATTCTGAAAAGCCCAACAGTCACATTTCTGAGGCTACAATAAATGTACTTTTCATTTAAACTATGCACTAGTGGTTTACATCTACATGAGGCTGACCTGCAGGATGCCCCAGACAACATCCGATAGCCCTCAAAAATTCAATTTTTCATAGTGTTTAAAGCCAGAAGGGACCATTGGATCATTTAGTTTGACCTCCTGTATATCACAGACCATTAAGTTTCACCCAAATATCCCATCTTAAACTCAAAGAGTGGAATTCTATTACCCTTTGTGATCTATGTGGCAGTTTTCCTGCCATATAAGCAGCCTTTTTGGCATTTACACACAGTTTACAATTTTATTACCCTCTATTACCCAGGCAGTGTGGATGCATACATGCATTAATGTTTATTGAGCATGCGCAGTAGGCTACATGCTGGCCGGGTGCCTACGTGGCTATGCATGCGCACCCAACGTACATGCATAAGTCACAGAATTGTAGCTGGATAAAAACCCATAGAAAACAGGTAGCCAGGGTGGGGAAAGAGAAAGACCTTCCCATTTTTAACCTCGATAACCGACTGGTTAGGGCACTTGACCAAGAAGTAGAAGACTCAGGTTCTAGCCTCACCTCTGCCTTGCCCAGAAGTGGTTTTAACCTGCATCTCTCTGACTTGTCATCCCAGTACTCTAACCAGCAGGACAGAGGTTAGGAATTATCCAAGCCCTTCTTCTGTAGCTGGCCAACTGGACAGCCAAGATGTGACACCAAAAAAACCCCCAAAGAAAACAAGCCAGAGGGTATGTGGCTCAGTGAGATGGCTGCTGGCTCAGCAGGGAGCAGACCCTGGGTTTTAGCTTGAACCTTTGCCCCAGGAATGCAAAAACATCCCTACTGTTGTCCATTCAACTTATCCATGCCACTTACAGTGGCTCAGTTGCTCCAGGCTTATCCTCATTTGCTGCTCTCAGGCTGGAGTAGGTGTAGTGGAACCAACTTGCAGTAGCCTGAAACATTTGTGCAGACATGAATAGAGGCGTGTGTTCAGTCCCATCTTTATCAGGACCCATTCCCCTAATGCTATATTTAAGCCCTCTGATGCCTATGAATGAAAGGGATGAATATGGAAAACATGCACATTATGAAAGAGCAAACTTACCCCTAAAAATTTAATGTAAATATATTATGATGCTTTCTTTTTACATGATTTAAAGAAAAAAAATTGAATGCAGCAAAACTGTTTTTGTGTATCAGATTGCTACCTACTTAACAGGATATTACCTACTGTCATGAGCATTGGTACATTTTTTTAAAAATGTGTTTTATATAAAAGACCTGTACCTCAACATGGCACTAAAACCCTTCTTCTTAGTTTTCTTCTCTGGATCTTCATTTTCTTCTTTCCTTTTCTTCTCTTTGACTTTACCTTTGCTCTTTTCCTTTTTCTTTTCTTTCTCTTTATTTTTTTTGTCTTTCTTTGCCTTGCCTTCTACATCTTCTAGGTCATTATTCCCTTGAGGGGCTGATTCAAAGTTCTGGGCTTCCTGGCCAGAGTGAGAGCTCTTATCAGACAAACCATCTGCAGAGAGAGAGAAAGAGAGAATCAATAAGAATGGTTAGGGGCCATTTCAGATCACAAAAATGCAAACATGTGAAATACAGAATCTGTGTAGAAAAGTGCTGCAATAATTCACAGTGCACGATCATTTAATTGAATAATTTAAAAAGCAGACTAAACATAACTAGTTAATTCAGTCAAGGCTGTATTGTAAATCAAGTACAGAATTATTATAGTTACTTGTTTTCTAGTTACTATTTCTGGTATGAAAAACCTTGACATGTGGTAAAACACTATTCTTTTTGAAATCTGCCTTGTTAATCCTCATCAGTTCAAGAAAAGCCCACATGCTGGGACACAAACAGTGAGAGCTTATTTCAACAAGAGGTTCTGAGGACTAATATAACCTAACTATATTACAAAATGAATAAAGTTCCTCCTTAGGATAAGGCCATTTTTAATGTCTGTAAGAGGAATATAAAGACAATTTTTCTCACTGGTTAGAGAGCTACTCTAGCTTTTATTTAGGAACTCCACAGTTCGTGCTATAAAGCAGAAGTCCTCAATCAGTAGGCTGTGACCCTGCGGCAATGCCATGAATAGGTGCCAGGGTGCTGTAAGTACTTTGCCCTTCCTATATTGCTGAACAGAGTTTCTGTTAAATTTTTGCTTAATGGAAGGAGTTTCCAAGATGGTGTCAATATGGAAAAGGGAGATGCAGTATTGAAAAGGATGAGAATCACTACTTTAAAAGCAAGCAGATGCCAATGGATATTATCAAGATGGATAATGAAGAAAAATAGTTACTCTGCAGGTAAAATTAAGTAAGTAAACTTTTCTGGATGAGGGGGCCTAATCCATCCATTGCCCCAGTGAAATCAATGAAAGAGTTGCCATTGACTTCAACAGACATTAGGCTGGGCCTGGACTGTACTCAATTTGACAAAGATTTAAGAAACAGTTGGTTGACTTCAGTGCTCTACTTGAACAGAGCCTCAACCTAAATTAAGAAAGGGATGTTTCTTAAACAAGTACGTATAACAGCATACCCTCTTCTACATCTTCAGGTCCATCATAAGATTTGTCAATGGCAGCTCTGAAACTCTCGTTACAACCTCGACCACGGACCATGTGAGGCCTGGGTCTGTGGAAAGGAAGCTCATTCTTCTTGACTTCAGCCACAGCAGTCTGCAAGCTTTCCAGTGAGCTGGACTTTTTTAAACCCAGAGTTGGACCAAAATCTTTGCCAGGAGATTCTGGAGAGCAAAGAGTAAAAAGTTTACATTTAAATTACACAGAGAAATAAAACTAGTACATATACATATTTAACTCTGCAATTCTTTTACTTTGCAGCTTTGAAATAACACACAAACAATTTATTTATAAAATAGTATCAAGGTAAACCTGCGTCAGTAGAAATTTCAGGGCATTTATGTAAGGAGTGAGTCATCACTTGTGGGATACATTCTCTCGTATCAAATTTTTCAAGTCTGCCCAAAATGGAATTTCAAGCTTGGGATGATATTAGTAATTTTAACAGTAATCACGCTAACCCTTGTCACTGCTGAAGGCCTCTGTTCTAAGAAAGCATATTATTACAGGCCACAAAACTACATTTATCCAAAATATAAATGTTTTGGCTTTTGGAATGGGTTGGTTTACAGAAAGCTAGATATTTTCAAAAGAAATTTCCCTGTAGGAAGGTATAACCAGTTCTCCTACCAGACCTTATCTCAGCTTTTCACTTTAATTTATATAAGCTAACCACTGCCATGCTATCAATATGCTCAGCAGGTTTTTCAGGAACAAAGCATAAATATATCCAGTAAAATACTGCTACACATAAATTGCCTTGCCCCATGGTGCTGCCACTTCCTTCATTCATGGGCATGAGAAAGCATTTTTGTACAAAAGGGAGAAAGCAAAAAGAATCTCCAAGTCCTCCACTTTCCTTCTCTGTGAATACATGCATTTCCCAGCTGGTAGAATATTTAGGGGAACCTAATATTAACAGGACACGTCTACACACTGCCTTACAGCGATATACCAATGTGCTATGTTGCCATACAGCATGCTATGGCAATGTAGCAATCACATAATCGGCAGCTACGTTGCCCCTTTTTAGCATGCTGCTATGGCAATGTAGCAGCAAAATCTAACCATGTGCCGTGTGCATGGTGCAGTATGGGTGATTACTGTGCCATGCTTTAGTACTTCCAAAAGGAAGTACTAAAGCACAGTGCTGTAGCAACATGTAGACATACCCACAGTGCCTCTGTATAATATTATACAATCATAGAAATTAAGGGCTGGACGGGACCTCAAAAGATCGAGCCCAACCCCCCTGCTCTGATACTGCTGAGATCAAATGAGCCCAGCAAGGTGTCTGTCCAGTCTCCACATGAGGACTTCCAAGGTTAGGAATTACACCACCTCCTTGTGAAGTCTAGCCTAGATTCTGGTTACCCTTACTGTAAAGAAGTTCTTCCTTACATCCAACCTGAAACCATCCTCTAACAGTTTATGGCCCTTGCTCCTTGTCCTCCCCTGGGGTGCCCTAGTGAACAGTTTTTCTCCCAGCTCCTGAAATTCACCCCTTACATACTTACAGATGGCCACCAAGTCCCCACTTAGTCTTCTCTTCCCCAGTCTGAAGAGTCCCAGATCCCTTAGTCTTTCCCCATAAGCTTTGTCCTCCAGGCCCTTAATCATTCTTGTGGCCCTTCCCTGGACCCTTTAAAAATTCTCCATGTCTTTTTTTGAAGTGCAGTGCCCAGAACAGGACACAGTACTCCAGCTGGGACCTCACCAGAGCTGAGTAGAGAGGAAGTATCACTTCCTTAGCCCTGCTCGCAACACGTCGGCTAATGCATTCCAGTATGCTATTAGCTCTGTTGAGTACAGCATTGCACTGGTGGCTCATATTCACCCCGTGATCAACCATAATCCCAAAGTCCCTTTCAGCCATCATGCTGGCCAGAACTTCTCCTCCTAACCTATATTTATGTCGCTGGTTACTTCTCCCCAGATGAAACACTGCATTTATCCTTACTGAACTGCATCTGGTTCTGCTCCATCCACCTTTCCAGCTTGTCCAGGTCCACACAGATCTGTATTCTATCCCCTAGCATGACTGCTTTTCCCCATAACTTAGTATCATCCGTAAACTTGGCCAGTGTGCTTTCCACATCCTTATCTAAATTGTTGATGAAGCTGCTGAACGGCCCAGGGCCAAGAACACCTCCCACCAAGATGATACAGACCTGTCCACTACAACTGTGCGAAATTTCGCTGACAGTTTCATTTTAACGCTGTTTTGACTCCTTGCGAGCTCAAAACAGCAAAATCAAAATGAAACAGAGAGCTTTGAAACAGCCTTGAAACGAAACGAGGCAAGTTGAAACATTTTGAAATTTCTGAAATGTTTCGAGTTTTGAAGCTCAAGCTGGGCTTGCTTGCAGGGAAACAGAAAGCTAAAGTAATGAGAGGGAGGGGGAAGGGGGGAAGGAGTGCTCTCATTATTGACTGTGTAGCTGGCCAGTGACAATCATCCTTCCCTGAGGTCTCTTCCAGTCCCAGTGCTCTGGGGGAGGGATGGAAATCTGCATAAAAGGCAGCATTGTTTGAACTGCCCTGCTTTCTGCCTTGGTGTCAGTTGAGTGAGGACACACCTTAACACACACATAGTGTCACCCACCCATGTCATAAGCTTGGCCTGTCAGCAGCTAGAGGTGCAGGGGCCCAAAACCCAGACTCCCCCTGGACCTACCTCCCTGACCG